CACTCTCCCAAGTGAGCCATGGGCCAGCCCTCCTAATTTAGTTTGGTTTAAACTTGTATTAAAAGCAATTTGTTCTCTTCGATTTGATATTTGGGATTAGATGTGTTTTCTGTATGACTGAAGAATATAGCCTAGGGTTTACATCTGCCCTGGATAATGCTGAAACAGCAGTAAACGAACGCTAATTGTGTAGGGTTTCACACAAAGAGAGACAGACACACTCACATACAGACAGAGAAACAAAAATAAAATCACAACAAAATCAAATCAAAATGCGAACATTGTTACCAGTGGCAGGCTCGCATGGAACTGGTGTGTAATATTTGGAGTACACTTCATCTTTTGGCCGATCAGGAAACACGTATATAAGGTAATTCAAGTCCCCCAAGCGGTCTGCCAGGGACCGGATGGAGAAGTCTCTGGTGGTAAAAGGCATCAGATTCCAAAACATTCTTTCCTCTAGATCAATAAACAGAATAATCACTTTCTAAATATGATTTCTGAATAGGAAATCTTAAAATCCAAATGTACTACAAATTCAAGCTCTCCATTAAAATTGCCCCAATAGAAGTCTCCATTTTAAATAGCCACAGGCTGTAGAGAAAGTAGTTTTTAGGAGCCATAGGTAGACAAGCAGGTAATGCACGCATCACTTCCCCAGAGAGCCAATGATCTCAGGTATTTTCAAGTTCAAACAGTATCCCATCCCTCTCTCAAAGAAACAGTTCTTACTGACCCCAATCCCTGACTTCCTGTACAAACGTATGTCAGGGAGCTAGGAAGCCTGTCTACAGCCAGAGAAAGCTAAGCGCTATTAAAAGTGATTAAAATCTTTAAGTCATACAAAACAAGCTAGCAAGCTTCTCTTATCTTACTGAGAGCCAAAGGAAAGTGCTAACGTTCTTGGATGGAAATGGTCAATGGCAATACTCTTAGGTTAATTAGGGTAAAGGAATAATCGAAATAGTATATTATCACTCTAACGACACCAAATCACCAAAGTGATTCTTCACTGAAATTCAGAACTCCAGGTTGAGGAATAATAAGGCAGGCCTTTTAATGGGGAAGCAGCTGAGATTTTCCACAGACTGCTGTATTACACGAAACCATGTCATGGCTACACTTTTGTGTTCCTCAAAATTATTCACTGTGTTTCCCATAATAAGGTTTTTCATAGGCTCCTGTTGTTATTAGCAGCACTGTCATGGTTATAATTTGTGTTACCCATAATTAGTACTGGCCCCAACAAATAATCAGTACTCAAATAAATTGTTAAGGTAATTTTTCAGCAAAAGCAGCTAACCTTGGACGTAAAGCCAAGGCATGTCTTAAAAAGGGAGGGCACTCACGAGAATCAAACTTCCAAGCAATGGTGATGCCGCCAATTTCTGAGTCGCTGAATCTCAGCAGAAAGGTCCCATCTGGCTTGTTAATGAGTAGGTCATGGGCCTGCTGCTTGTTCACGAAACCCAAAATGGCCCTGAATCACGAAGGCCAAAGGAGCAGAAGCAGAGAGTGATGTATTAACACCAGGAAGAAGACCTTTGTACTCTATTGCTGACTTAGAAGTGACGACTCTCACCCGTCATTCCAATGAGGCTTGAGATGTTTTTTTAACACTTCCATAAAACCCAAAATGGCCCTGAATCACGAAGGCCAAAGGAGCAGAAGCAGAGAGTGATGTATTAACGCCAGGAAGAAGACCTTTGTACTCTATTGCTGACTTAAGAAGTGACGACTCTCACCCGTCATTCCAATGAGGCTTGAGATGTTTTTTTAACACTTCCATCACACCATCAAACCACTGCCAGAAAGTGTAATTCCGTCCTGGTAAATTCTCCTGGTTGGAGATACAACGAACACAGCTAAGCAAGAGTAACACTTGAGATATCCCCTGCATATACTTCAGCTAGAAAAGTAAATGGAAAACAAACATCTACACTGTCAGAAGCACACAGATATACCTGCCTACTTGAATTTTACCAACTGGTCCTAGAACCAAAGAACAGAACGGAGAAAAAAAGAGGGAAGGAGGGGAAAATACCAAAGTGCAGTTACCAGAACCCAGTGGTCCCCTGCTACAAACACTGTCGCCTGGATCTGGGCTCATTAGTCCCTCTCTGCTTCCTTTCTTTTGTTTTTTTTCCATTGCACATACACTTTTATTTGGCTGAAATATCTCTTGCTATGTCTGATGTGTGGTCTGTGACCAGCAGCATCAGCATCACCTAGGAGATTCCGAGAAATGCAAATTTCCAGGCCCCTTCTCAGATCTGCTGAATCACAGCCTGCATTTTAACAGCCCAGTTGATTCATCAGTTTGAACTGGATTAGATCACATTGAAAGGCCACACATACAGCTTCATCTCACAGATGTTCCCAATGGTTATCAGCAAAATCCAGCTACCTGATTCTATTGGAAGGCAGTGGCTTTACTGTAATGGCCAAGATAGACCACTGAGACCTCCTGCTTCCCTTATCAAACATCCTCTGACTACCAGCAAACCTGTTGGCCAGCTTGTTAACACAAAACCATTTAGAAGACTCAGAGACCATGACCTCTCTGAATTATGGGCATTTTAAAACTCGCGGTGGGAGTGTAAGAAAAGAAACAAAGTTAAATTGAAAATCAGTCAAAGATTTGACCAATGACACCTAAATTACCAGATGCTAGAGGAGAATTTCTTTCCTCAGCATCCCGTTTTGTGGATTGAGGGTCCCATGGGAGCCTGACCTGGCATTACACATCAGAGAGTGAGTGGGACAGAACCACGGGATTCTGTTCACCTAAAAGCTTTACTTCTCATGAGTTACGTTAACATCTGCTTTGCTCCATTTCCTTTATAAAGGAAGAAAATGCACTAACTTAGCACACATAGGCCAACCTACTCAAAATATGCAAAGATATAATCTTCTATATGAGACCTGGATAACTCTCAAATTGCCCGTCTACTCAGAAGCTTCTATTATTTTTGGTACATTTTATTAGAGACATGAAGAACAAAGTCTCAGGGAAGAGACTCATGAAGGCCTCTGGTTTGGAGTGGCTGATCTAAGAGAGCTGGCTGGGCCCCTCACCCTGTTGAACTGGGACCAGGACACCGACATGCTGCTGTAGTCCTCCAGGTGGCTGCTGCTGCTGTTGAACAGTTTCTGCGCCAGGAACACGAGGTTCTCCTTGGTCAGGCCCCGGTTGCTCTGCACTTCGGCCTTGAATTTCATGTTGAGCGCCTCACACAGCTGCGGCCACAGCACTTTGTCAGGCACGGCGAATGGCACCCTGCCCTGAGAGGGAGAGAAGCCAGAATCTCATGAGAAAACAGTGCCATGATTTATTCTCTCGAGCCACAAAAGAAAAACATCGATGGCTGGAAGTAGTTACAAACACTTGTCTTGCTGAGCCTTAGGATAAATTCACGCTTCCTTGTAGTATACAGTTGTGTGAAATTCAGGTGGTTCTATTTTACCTTCTTTACACACAACTAGAAGGTAACTGCATGCTATCTATGCTGTTTTGTAAATAAGCTGTTGAAGCTACCTTCTATTCCTGTGTTCTAACAGCCACAAAAACAAAACATAACCAAGGTCTGGCTCTTATACTGTAAAGTCAAGGGGAATTCAGAAATCTAAGACTGGTTCTCTAGGTGCAAGGAGAGACAGAGTGTGTTTGTGTGCACAAACACACGCACACGTGTGTACACACATGTAGTACTTGCCTTTGACTTCTTCTGGCAAGAACTCTAGATCAAGGTGAAACAACTTGGTATGGGAGAGTAGAAATTTCCAGTTGGACGACTTTATTGACGAACAGGTCAGAATATAATTTATTTGTGTGTGTGTGTGTGTGTGTGTGTGTCCGATAAGAGGATCGCAACCTTTGGCTTGGTGTTGCCCGCACCGCGCTCAACCAGTGAGCGCACCGGCCATCCCTATATACACTCCCGAGTGTGCCACGGGGCCGGCCCAGAATATAAATTTTTAATAAACTGATTTTCATCACATTTAGCCATAGTACTTCATTTTATTTTGTTATAAAATTTTTTGAATAGACAATTCCTTCACATGATATAAAATTCAAAAAGCACAGAAAGGTATACAGTGAAGTCACTTCCCAATCCCTGTCTCCCAGCGACCAAGTTCTTTCCCTCAAAGGCAACTAATCTGGTTTCTTGTGCATACTGCCAAAGATATTTTCTGCATGTCAGCAATTACATATAATTTTTCCTTTTTTAAAAAACATGAATGGTAGCATAATCCATACGTTCTGCATCTCTCTTTTTTCACTTAATACTACATCTGAGGGCTGGCTGGATAGCTCAGTTGATTAGAGCATGGTGTTGTAACACCGAAGTCAAGGGTTAGGATCCCCGTACTGGCCAGCCGCCAAAAAAAAAACAAAAAAAAACTACATCTGAGAGACATCGTATCATTCCTCTTTTTATTTTATGGGTGCTAAAAATTCTACAGTATAGAGGAATAATAATATATTTTCAGACCCACCTCCACACATGAACATCTATGTAACAGCCTCTGGTCTTTAGCTATTACAAACAATGCTGCAATGTACTGATGCAATCTGACATATTCCCATAAGTATTTATTTTAAAATAGCAAAAGATGTGCACTAGTCATTAACATAACTGAAAATGTTAAGTGATGACTAATTTTAGTTGTCAACTTGACTGGATTGAGGAATACCTAAAGAACTGGTAAAGCACTGCTTTTGGGTGTGTCTGTGAGGGTGTTTCCAGAGAAGACTGGCATGTGAGTCAGCAGACTGCGTGGGGAACAACCGCCCTCAATGTGGGCAGCACCATCCAATGGGCTGGGGACCCAGAGAGAACAAAAAAGGAGAGGAAAGGATTTCCTCTCTCTCTCTCCTTGAGCTGGGACACCCTCCTCCGGCTGCCCTTGGACATTGGAACTCCAGGCTCTCAGGCTTTGGAACTCCGAGACTTACACCAGTGGCCCCCCTGGGTTTTCAGGCCTTCAGCCTTGAGAATCGCACCATCAACTTCCCTGGTTCGGGGGATGTGGACTTGGACTGAGCCAGGAGGCATTTTTTAAAAGGAGCCACAAACTCAGGGTTTGTAGCACAAGCATGGTAGCATCTCTGATAAAAATTTTACCTTTGCAGTAAAATATTGCTCCCTAAAGAGAACTGTTGGGAATGCCAATGCTCTTCACACTAGCCATTAGAGAAGGACATACTTTTATGTTCCAAATATCACAAACATTTAATCACACTTTTATGGACTAGTTTCTATCAGAAATACGCAACACACAGACCTTTGCCTACTGAAAGATTTTGAAAATGCTCATCACGCAGCATATTAGTGGTATTCATACGGTATTGGGTGCATAAACACAAAATTATATCTGTTCCTTTACACAAAACATCTTGTTCTTCATGAGAGACTTGGAATGAATCACAGAATCTAAAATTTGGAATGGACATTTGATGTCATCCTCATTTATTGGAAGGAAGATGACATGAAGCAACGTCTAAGCTGAAGTAACCTCTTGAGAGGTCTAACCTCTAGAAGGAAGCTGGGAGTCCCAAATCTCTTTCATGGTTTCACCCCACAATTCAAGACAATATTTACTGAGTATTGACTATGTGACAAGCATTTTCTATATTATCTGTGTGATCTTCCTAGCAGTGCCTTGTGTGGCAGACAAGGTCATCATCCTTGTGTGGCAGACAACTGGAAACTCAAGCTCAGAGAGGTAAGGTGGACCGCCCACGGCCATGGAGTGAGGAAATGGTGGAACCTGAATTCACGCTTTGGCCTGACGTTGAGTCCATGCTCTTCCACCTTCCACATTCTTCCTATTCTGCCTCCCTCCAAGGAAAACAGCATTTTTTCCTATGCTTTTGGTGGGGATAATATGTGAAAGAGATTCATGACACCAGCATCGAGATCTTCAGACCCACATGCCCAAAGAATGCACTTACAGGCTCTGCAAAAGCATTGTCCCAGAGAACAGTGGCCGTCGCATTGTTGTCCTGGCTGCCATGAACAATCACCACCACTGGGAGTGACAGGGTCTGAAAAGACACAGGAGAAGGCTTGAGCAGCCACAAGCCTCAAGTTCTTTCCCCTCTCTTCTTCTTTCCTTATTATCACACTTTCATTCTCCAAGTTTCAGTTAACGTCACCCTCCAATGATCAGAGAAGGACATACTTTTATGTCCCAAATAGCAACAACACCTTAATCATGGTTTTATGGACTACTGTCTATCAGAAATTTGAATGCCTCTAGGAATAACATGACTTTTCACACCGGCACAATCTTAGAAGTGTTAGATATTTTCAAAGCAATGCTGCCAGGATATTTCTGAAGGATGGAATAACTTTCTCAAAGTTACATGGAGAACGAGAGAGAGAAAAGAGAGAGTATGGAGACGTTTTTGGGAAAAAGTAGCAGGGAGCAAATGCTCAAAACTTACGACATGAGTAATATTTCTCATGATCCATTTTTTACTTATCCCTCCAGCTATTTCAGTCCATTATCATGTGTTCATGTCCTAAGAGAACCTCAGCGATACAGTCCTAAGGATGAAGTCTCCCCATTTTCTGTTCATCAATAGTCAAACAGAAGATACCATGTGATAAAACCAATTCTTTTAGGACATAAAGTCCACACACACACACACACACACACACACACACACACACACACACACACGGCTAAGGGAGAGTTTTACCTTGACCTGGAAAACTAGCTCATTTCCTCCAACACTGAACTGTGATTCGAACAGGATTGTAAATTTTTCTTCTGTCACTGACTCTGCCCCACGACGATCAGACCTCTTAATTCGTTTCAGGGACTACACAGGAGAAACATAAGATGATAAATATAAGATGAAACATAACGTCATAGTTGTTTCCCTCAAACAACTAGGGAAAATTCATTCCTCCTCTTCTCCCGTCCTCACCATATTCCTGAAGTGGGCGCTGAGGGTGCCCGTGGCTTGGTGATACTCCATGACACAGCAGTTGTTCAAGATCTCACCACTGTAATCACTGAAAATCAGAGAAGGACCAGCTCCAAATCCACACCAGGGTCTCAGCACATGCGGGGAAAGGAACATACTCGGGGAAGGAGGAAATAAAAGAGGTAGCTAAAACTGTATGTCATTTAGAGAAAACGTTAGCTGTATAAAATATACAAGTAATTTTCTTGGATACATCCCTACTAAATGAAACAAAAATCATACTATCTTCATGGAAGTATCCCTTATATTCATTCTCTGAGATCCTGAAGAGGCCAGAAGGGCAAAAAGGGATCTGACAGAGCAGGCACAATTACTTTCTTCCTCCTGCAAGGACACAAGGAAAGTAGCAGGGACTGAGAAGCAGCAGCACAATTACTTGCGGGTGTTCTCGTTCTTGAGCAGAGACTTGGCCTGCTGCTCACTGATGATGGTGGCCTTCACCTGCGGGGGGTTCATGTGCACGTTCAGCTTCCCGCCCACCAGCAGGCGCACGGTGGCTGCAAACTTGGTCTGGGTCTTCAGGACCTGAGGGGGCTGCTTCTCAATGATGAACGTGCTGCAGGGGACACAAGTGACCAGACGGAAGATGAGCTGCTGGCTCAGGGGAAAAGGTCTGTGTGGGGAGATGGCCTCGCACGGGGCTCAGCAGGTGAGGGCAGAGCACGCGGCACAGTGTCTGCTCTCAGGAAGGCCACCGAGAGTCGGGAGGACGGTGGGGAGGGAGGGAAGTGAACGCAGCAGTTGGCAGAGGCTGCAGGCACAGGACATCTGTCACACTGTCCACAACAGAAACTGGGCAAGGGCAGCCCAAGAGGCCAGAGCAGCTGGAGACTGAGTGGGGAGGGGACATGAGGCAGATGGAGGGAGGACTGAAACCGGCTCCTGGGCTGGAAAGCACCTGCTGCCTCCCACCTGCCCACCGTGTGTAACTGCCCCTGCCCCGCTGCAGTGGCCAAGAGCCAGCAGTCACCTGGTCACCAGGGCTGAGATGATGTCTGTGATGGTGGCGTTGACCTCAGCCAGCATCTCCTCCACTGGGCCGGGGATCGGCAGCTGCTGGCACAGGTGCTCGGCCCTGCGGATCTGCTGCCGGTTCTGCCAGATGATCTCGGCCAACTTCTCACACCTGCACAGGAGCCCAAGAGCCACGGGAGGACGATGGCTTTCCCCCCACCCCAGGCCAGAGGCGGGGAGCTCCCATTCTGGGACTGCCCCTATGACGCAGCTGCACCCTCACCCAGCAGGCCTCACCCAGGAAGGCCGGCTGCTTTCTGCCCCCTCCAATCGACTAGTGGAGAGCAGAGCCCCTGCCTTCCAGAAGTACAGAGAAACCCACAGCAGGGGCCGCCCCAATTTGGGCCCAACCAGCCCTAGTGTCACTCTGCACACCGAGCCCTGCCCTGTTCCTCAAGACTGTGACTCCCTTCCTGGGAGGTGGCACGGGATGGGGACCCCTGCCTGGATTGGGAGCCAGGCCCACTGGTGAAATAAGAGCTGTCACAAGTCACAGGGGACCTGCCACATGTGCCAACACGGAAGGCAGAGGCACCTGCTCGTGCCACCACCCCAAGCCCTGCGGCGCTGTCTGCTTCCCACCCCCACACCCATTACCAGGACTGCAGCACG